CAGTCAAGGAGAAGGATGTACTCTACATATTTTATTTCCTTTTGCTGCAGTTGATAGTGAATGACCCACAGCTCTAAAGACCCAAAGGAATCATTAGATATATTCGCATTTAGCCTTGATCCAGCAACCATTATGTAGGAAATGCAAAGCTTTACAATGGCTCTATTAAGACATTCTATTAATGCATCTATTCATTATCACTAGCTCTCTTGTAGAGTTCTCACACAGTGGAATTTAAATTTCTTGATGTTATATTTGGCTTAAATGGTCATCAGGATAACCTTGGTCTGCCCCAGGGCTCATTACTGCAGAGGTGTGGAGAACATTATTAAACAACAGTAGAAGGAAAGAAACTCCTGAGTATTGTGTTCTGCAAGATGCAGGAGAGCTATCACACCTTTGTTCCTACTGCAGTATTCACAGCTTCCTTGTCCTTTAAGATTTTGTTTAATGGAAAATAAACAGTTTTAGGAGGCAATTTCCCATCAGTGATGCAGGGAACATATTTTTCTTCAGAATGTGCAGGGTACTCAACACAGAGTAGTCCAGCTCTATAAGTAAGGCTTTTCTGGCATGACTGCCACAGAAATTGCTGTTAGGTGTTGTTTATTTAACAATTTATGCATAGTTACAAATGTCAACCACAGTAAGGAAGAATTGAGAGAGAAAATAACTGCACGATGCATTGGTGAAAGCTTCAGTCAGAGAGTGCCATTTTTGAGCTGAACCTCGAAAACCACAAGAGCTTTCCAAAACTCCCAGTAATGTGAATTTTGGAAACATGGAACAGCCCAGTGGAACTGAAAACTGGTGAAGATTCAGCATGAGTCAAGGTCTGAACCACGAGTTGTGACAAGGGCAGTGTGGGACTGCTGTAATATCCTCTGGTAGCTTCATGCAAAGACGCCTGTTCCGGGGACCTTCTGTGTCTCCCCTGTCTGTCTGCAGCTTGAAAGCAAATTGGCACTGACTTTAATGAGGATACACTGCTTCAACATGTCTCTTAGACTTCATTGTTTTGCACTCTCATTTGTTATTTCAAATCAAGCCGGAGCAGTCTGCAAACTAAAAGCTCCTATATAAACCTCACCTTCCACTAGTATACATGAAAATTTAAATATATGAAAAATCTGGACACTTCTGTGCTTAAATGAAGAGATGGTTTATTACCCCCCCTGCAACTGCAGAACAATCAACAAGAGGCATGGCTGATATAAATTAAGATGACTTACAGGAAATTATTCAAATTTCATATTCTTAGCCTAAACATTGAATATTTCATATAAATACGGGACTAGCTATCAAGATCACAAATACAAAGACGAAAATGTATGGATCTTATCAGAGGTAACTAAGAAGGTCCAGTTGCAGAGAAAATTATTACTGTGTTTATTTTACTTGAAAATACTCCAATTATCAGGATGCTGCAACTGTGAACAGTTCGCCTTAACAACATACAAACAGTATTAGCTCACAACTATTTACCTGATCCAGCGTCAACCAGCATTAATAGCAGTAATTTCAGTGACTGCAGAATACATTAAATAACAAGATAATATGGCTAGAGTCTTCAGCAAATATAGAAGCAAAATAACTGCAGTCCCAATACCTAACCTACATGCACCCATAGTTCCTCTGAACTCAACATAAATGTTTACCTGATTAGAACATGCAGTACTTTGAGTCAACTGGATTAAAAAAAGGTATATTTAAATGTAGGCTACAATGCTGCTTTCCAAAAAATATTTAAAGAAATATTTTTTGTAACAATTAGCTGTAATTTCAATGGCTACTTCAAAGCATATGGTCAAAATTGATCAGTTCATTAGCTTTATTTTTCCTATTTTATTCAAACAAAGTACAGCAGTGCTTCACTGAGGCTTCCTCCTGACTGCATAGTGCACGGCATTCTGATTTTCAATAGCAGAATGAAGTAGCAGTACAAATTGGTTTGAAATATGATGAAATAGCATCATTACTGCTGTATGAAATCTAAAAATCACTGCACTATGACCTTAATTTTAATTGGCTTTTTCACAAAGACCGCAGCTAAACCTCAGCACTGATAGAAAGCCATTCAATTATTTCTAGTCAGTTCCTAACTCCTCAGCAAGCAGAGTGTTATCCAGTAACACAGGCACCGATTTTTCCTCACACTGTGAAGAACAAGGTATGTACAGATACATCTGAAGAATCCTCTGTGTTTAAGTTCATTTGACCTAAAGGAAGCTCCCTTGGTTTCCCAGGAGTCAAGAAGCAGATTTCAAAAGGAAAACATAAACATGTTTATCTTTATAAGCCTCCATTCAGCACTCATGAGTGCACTCTAGGTACCACTGTCTTTTTAATTCCTGACAGTGTCATTACTACAGTCTTGTTTGGTCAGATTCTTCTATTAGCTTTGCTTATACAAATACAGAGACTCAAAACAGCATGTCTAGTAGACTCTCATTTATTCAACCTTTTTCTCCTATCTCACCTAATATTTCTAATGCAGATTTCACTGGTATTTTGTAACAGAGAGTCTCCTTTCCTATTTTGACAGTAAGATCTTTTTTATTTAATGCTGAATATTAGCATTTTGCTACATATATTCTACATATTTGCTACATATTTGCTACAATATTCTGATAATTTTACTATCTTCAGTGCCTAACTTTTACATTAAATAAGCAGGTTCTATAAAAATCAGATTTGTAGTTTTGAATGGTACTGATGTAATTAAAACTCACATGAAAGCACGTAAAATTAAAAGTCTTCAGGTTTTTCCTGCTTAAATTATTGTTAGCCAAAGACAGTACTCATTCATTACTGGAAATGGAAAAGCAACAGGACATTTAACAACTGGGCAGTTATTTACAGTCCCTGTTTTTTCAGTAATGTTTAAATTCAATTAAAAAACAAAACCAAAAACAAACCAAAACCACAAAACAAACAAAACAACAACAACAAAACAGTAGGAGTAAAGTGAGATGGAAAAATTTTCAAGTGATCTGAGTCTTTTTTTTTTGACCTGTGCTCAGACTAAATAGCCACATGGCCAGGGCCCCTGTTTTAACCTTCCATAGGTCAGTCACAGGGCCATGCAGGATGCAATGTTCACCCAAAAAAGTTCAGTGTAGCAACTGTCAGCAGATCTCTCCACCATTCTGCCTAGACACATAAACCTCCCCTTTCCCCTTATCTTTCTTGAACAGGCAGACTGATGCTATGGGGTGCTTTGCACTGGCACAGCAGATGATTTCATCAAATCAGTATTCAGCAATTCCAAACATTCAACCAGTTGCAGTGTCTCTCCCAAGCAATTTAGCAAGGTTTTACTCTGTTAATAACTCATCTTCAGAAATAGTGACATCTATATTATAATATTGAAAAAGAGAGAGCACTTTGCAGATAAGTGGAATTTATTCAAAATGCTTCCATGTTAGAAATCATTTTATGGGTGCCCTTTAGACACAGGCACATCTCCACGTTTTAGCAATTATTCATCATTTACATGTTAACAATTTAGGAGAGCCTTAAAATCAAAAGGCATAAGAAGCCTACACACTGCCTCAAATGGCCGAACAAGTCTTGATAGCACTTCACAGCTAAGAGACTCTAAATAAATTGAATAATGAGTTGGGAAGCATGAACCTTTCCTGAACGCAGGGAAAAGTAGCAATACTCTCCCAAATCTAGGATATAAGACAGAAATCTGTCTCCCAGTCACAAAATCTCCTGTTACCATAGTGATGGGGACTGAGCAAATGACTAAAAATACCTGGTCTTATTCACACTGTCTTAGGAATGTGACCTAAATGACATGTTATACATGATTTTCCATGAAAAACTGATTGCATTTACTGGAAGCCAACACTGAAAAGCAGATAATGTGCAAGCAGGGTGTATGGTCACACACTGAAAGAGACCACCTTCTCAAAGATGCAGCTTGGAAAGAAAGCTTTCTGGAAGAAGGCATGAAAAAAATTATGATAAAAAGAAACCACATGTAGGTCATCAACAAGTCAAAAGCATCAACTAGATATGGGTTTCTCTGACTAAATAAAGCTGGCCTTTAAAAGCAGTCCTTGGAACTGCTGATAAATAAATTTAACCATAACCTCCAAAGAAGTTCACTGTTCACAAGAATCTCCCAGTTGTGATAACTTTCAAACTTAGGACAACCCATGTTTAGACCAGCTTTGTTCACAGCACCTACATATGTCACTACAAACTAAAATTGAGCTATTAAAGTGTGCTAGAGGAGAAACTGCAAGTGGCATCTCCCAGCTCAACTTGTGAGGTTCCCAAAGAGGCTCTCTCTGTAAGTCACACAGGAGCTGCTGCTGCTGCTCTACACTAAGAGAGGATCATTGCAGGCTCTTCCACTGACTTCCCTGGGAAAAACAAAAGCCAGAAGGAAGATGAGACTCTAGATTTATTTAAAGGGCTTGATCGGTTACAATTTTATTTCTATTTTTAAACAGTAATGATCTCCCTCCAATTTATAGTTCAGGATACCTTAATTCTTGCCTCGTGATGTCTTTTTCTATTTACAGTCTTTAAAGAATGTTTTCATCTATTAACGTTTCTAAAAGTTCTCTGCACCGAGCTGTTCAACGATGTTGGAAGGTAAACACCACTGAATTTACCAAGGGGTTAATGTTTTGCCTGGAGACATCTGCAAGTGCAGACCTGCCACAAAATTGCTCTACATCTTCTTAAGTATATTTAAAAATAGTATGGAATTATAACCCAGTATTTTTAGACACAATGGAATTGTAGAAAAATGGACTTTATTTTATAATGATAAAATACTCCATTTTGGAAAAAGTTCATCAGCATCAGGTAAGTTTTTTCTGACTGTGCTTTTAAAAATAGCAGAATAGTAAAAAAAAGCAAACAAGCAAGAAGCCCAAATCCTGCAGAACTTGCAGCTGAAATTTTGTATCACTGTAAAGCAATTATAAGAAACCACTTACCTGAACAAACCTGCTGGAAGACACGCTGTATTCGACTATCCACACTACCTCAAAAATTCAGCAAGATCATTTCTCTCCATCTTTTTGTCAATGTCTCTCTGGGAAAACATTGTTTCATAAACTGAAAAAGAGAAGTTTTTTTCAGATATATCTTTACAACAAGGCATTTGGCACTGAAGGGTTTTTCCCTCAGAAAATTCCTTCAGAAAATATTTTTCCTTCAGAAAGAAGGAAATATTTCCTTCAGAAATATTATCTTCCTTTTTAGCAATATTTTCTTTAAAGCCAAGTTAGTATGCTTGACACACTTTGTATGGAAACATAGGCCTATGCAGAGGTGCAGTTTGCTGCTGACTTACTCTTGCATTGAAGGGAAAGGTCACGCATCATCCTTGCTGAATGAAAAGGAGAACGGCTACACTGAGAAACATCTCTTTCATAGAATCACAGAAATCAGTACATTTTTAACTCTTAGGTATGAAAACTGCCACTGAAGTCCAATTTGCATTATTGTGTTTAGATGAATGGTTGAAAATTCATACCTATTCTCTTTTTCTCAGCTTTTTCTCAAGAGGGAAGCTATTTTCTAGTGTACAAACTCAACTAATCTTAAACATATCCTGTGATGAGATGGCCACCATTTATTCTGGAAGAGGAATTTGAAGGGCAATGGATGAGACAAAAAGGAAATTTAGATTAAACTTTTCAGTCTACACTACTTTTTGTTTTCCTTAATATCTTCACATAATCCTTGGGGTGATAAGGACTGCACAAACAAAAACATCCAGAAGAATGAAGAGGGTAGTGAGTAGAGTATCTGGAGCTAAAGACAGGCAGTTTTGGTATTAGTCAATTATTTCCTCTTCTTTCAAAACTTCTCTGCTTATGTATCAGAAGAAGCAGCCCTTGTCTCTGTGCCTTCTTCATATTGTCATTTATGCTTCTCCTGACCCTTGCTGTTCAGTGACTTTCCTACCATACAGCTGAACAACAGCATCTATCTTCCCTACCACACTTGCTTGACTTTACAGTGAGCTATCAAACTGATGAGGAAACAGGGGAAACAAGTACAGGCATAAAAAGCAATCTGTGAATTAAATAGACAATACATGGATAGCTCAAAGAAAGTTGCAGAGAGATCTTTTTTAAAGAGGCTCTGTAGACACACAGGTTGTTATTTCATTATGGCAGATGTTAATTCATCTCATCAAATGCTATTCATTTTCCACCCAATCCTCCCAACATACAATGGCAATAATACTAGGACAAAAATCTTGGCTGGAATGATGAAAAGGATAAACTTTTAAGAAAATTGTGATGATACTCAGTTTTGCACTTTCTCACCTAATATGTCATTAGAACTCCTCCTTTCTGACAGTTTGTGACACTGCCCAACATTTCATGGCTAACAAAGTTACAGACTCAGACTAAGAACTACAACAAACGACATGATCACAAACAGCAGCTCACAAAAGATAAAATATTTAATGATAAAAGATATTTAAATAAGCTCATCTAGTTACTGATTTATTTATTTAATGTCTTTATTTACTTGTTATTTATTTTAAATAAAATTAAAATATTAATATTTTAAAATATTATTTAAATAAATTGCATTTATTTAAATAAACTCATCAAGTGACCAAGAGAATCTCTTTATTCAAGTTAAACCCTACAGTTCTATAGGGCTAGAATGACACCTAAGGAATGCAGTTGTGCATATGGAGGCATGAAATCATCCTTGCACCAAAAGGTACTTTAAAATAATTGTGTTGCAAACATAGAATATTAATTAAACAGAGTACTGAAATTAAAATAAAAGATAATTCTAATAAAAATTAGGATGACTCATATTTTTTCTTGTCTATCCATTCCTCTAATTCAAAATACTAAAGTGGTGGAGAAGGATCCAAAACACCAGCTCCACACCTAATGCAGGTTTCTTACAATAGCACCTTCCAGCTACTGGTAAGGATGGTCCATGACCTGTAGACTGTAATTACAGATATGTTTCACTTTCACTACTGAAAGTCATCTTTCACTACAAGTGAAGGGTGACTAAAGAAAACAGATGAGGTGGAAGTAAGAGGTGTGCATCGTACAAGAAAATCTTAAAAGAAAGCAAGAACAAATTCCATTCATGTAAACTCATGTAGACATATAAACACGTACATAAGAACAATTACTCCGTTGTACTGATAGTACATTTCATCCCAAGTTTCAGAAGTCGATCAGGAACCATATGAAATGCTATCTGCCCATAATCAGAGTCTTGGAGGAAATTTGGCAGGTTGAGAAAATCTGTGTTCAATATTCCTTTTTTTATTAAAAGTATGTTGTGGAAAGAAAATTATGTATATGTTTTCTACAGCCCAAAGTAGACATCACAAAAGTCTGGCTCACCTCATCCATCAATTATATCAACAGCAACATTTCCCTCTCCTCCAGTGTATAAAGCAAAATAATATTTTTAAAGGTTAATGATTACCCAATAATATGACCTGATTTTGATTACCCTATTTTAGGATTCTGGAAAACTAATAAAGTAGATTGTTTAATGGATTACTTAGTTCCTACTTGACCCCCTTCTTTGAATTAGGTACAAGTTTTCTTACAATGTACAGGAGGGTTACCCATCATCAGATGAATGATAACTGAAATTATGCAGCCTTCATAAATACTCAATCTTCAATGTGCAAAAGCTCGTTTAACTTGGTATAAACTTGGAGATAGAAGGCAAAAGTGCAAATTACAGCATGTAATTTCTCAGGAACTGGTATGTCATTCCTCAGGAACTGGCATTTCATTTAGCAATACTAGAGGATATACAAGAAAAACAGTAATTATCCTATAGAATACATGGTTGGTTTTGTTTTTTTTTAGCAATTGCAATTTAAAACAACGTGGGAGAAGAAAAGTGAAATAAACATTCTGTTAGTTACAGCCTGTTTCTCTACCTGAAAAACTGCAGGCCCCAGGACTAACAGTACAATATGCATGTACACCAAGAGTCTCTGAAGGCAGAGGGATTGAGTGTCACACAGGGCATTCTCTTCTAAAAACTGATTGAGATCAAGAGATGGACAGGGGTACCAGCACAGCACTCACTATCACAGAATTCTCCATAGCCTTGAGTATGCAAACAGCCGTGACAGCAAGACCAGCTCAGCATGGGGTTTGTTTATTAGCAAAATAAAAATAAACAAGAATTCTTATACTACTAAAATATAAGAACTGAATGGATTAAACAATCAAGATATTATCTTAATCTTTACTATCTTGAATGCCCTGTGTTCAAACCACCTTCTCATGTATCTTAGAATGCAAATGACAGCTTTAAGTACTTCTCCAAAGCTGGGATGCTTTCTACTATCTCGAGAAGCTTTGAAGACTTCCAGCTGAGTGGCATTTTTCTTCTGAGTTTGAAGGTCAAGGTGCTTGTCACTGGAAATTAACGTACAGCAGATTCGTTTTTCAGTTTGGTGGACAAATGGTTGAACTATAAATAAAAATTCTAGAAGACAAATTGTAATGTGCACCTAAAATAATTACAGAATCACATAGAATCCTTTTATTTACATGAATAGCTTGAAAAGATTGAAAAGGAACTGTTGGTCATTTACCATCTACAATTACAGAATTAGCATCCAGATCTGCTTGCCAACTGTTCTGCTGCAGCTGCGTAGATCTGCACAATGCCCATGGCTTTGTAAACTATAAAGATTAAGTTCTTTTCAAAACTGTTAACATTTTGAATTCCTACTCAACTGTACAGGTTTGTTGGTTTGGGGTTTTTTACAAAACAGGGAATAAAAAAAAGTCATATTTTTGTGTGCAAATACACTGTAATTTGAGTAAGACTAAAGAAATAAATTACCTGCCAGTTCTTACAATTTAACTGGTAATACAAGCTATAGCTGATAGACAGGGAAAGCTTTAAGTTTCTCTTCCATATGAATGCAAACTTTCATGGATTTTATTAATGTGTATTCATCAAAGTTGCCAGGAAATTTCAACACACACACACATAAAACCACATTTTACGAGACCAGAGAAATGTATTGAAACCAATCCTTTTCATAAGAACACAGCAGGAAATGCTGTATTGGAGATTTTCCTGTCAAAACAAGATAGTAGAAATACCAGAAAAGCCAAGATATTCAATATCCTGGACTAGACATGTATTTGCTGCAGTGAAATTACTAACAGTAATTTTAAAACCCTGAAAGCTCTCAATTTAATCTTGATACAGAGGAATAGAAAGGAACCCTCTGAAGTTTCATCTCTACAGTCCTCCCACGTGATGACCTGACTATGTCCCAACTGAAGAAATGATCAAAATGCATATGATAAATAATCAAAAATGTTAGATTTTGCATGTCAAGCAGTGTAACTGGCAGAAGCGTAAACCAAACCACAGCTGAGGATTTTTCATCAACCAGATTTAGAATTTTCTCTTCTCCTGAAGATACAATTGTGAAAAGAAATAGTCATTTTATAGTTAAGGTCATAAGTAGCTCTGTGTTGTAAAGCCATAATTTTGCTTAACACATCCACATTGTGCCAAGACTAAACCAATCTGTTTGAAATATCATTCAATAGAGAGAAAAATGACTTTTGATGCTTGGTCTTCATTAAGTAAGGTGCTAGTTGGATAAAATGCTTGAGAAACTGAGAGCTGAGTCTTTCTCAAAATACTGTTTTTTGCTAGTTTTTTTGTTTGTTTTTGAGGTTATACTATAATTAGGTTTTTAAAAATGAAATAACTTAGATGATGATTTTCAAAATGATTGGTTTCTGGTGTTTTATGGCATTTTCTCCATCTAGCCAAGAGCCTGCAGGATTTCTCATCAGACCATCTTCTTATAATTAAAAAATATCATTTGCACTTATTCATCACTCCACTCTATGCCACAAAGACAAATCTGTCCCATCAATCTTGATCTCTCTACTGGCTAAAAAATCTTCCAGGTATTTCATATAACCTCACAATATGGGACCACGATTTCAACATTCACTTATAATCTGATACACCTTTTTCACTGATCAAGGAACTAACACTCTACCAGCTTAATTCAGCTCCATATCAGCAGAGACTGTGCATTTACTATTTTCCCTGGATATTCTATCAGAGAAGAGAAACATTTTAATTTATTTCTAGGGTTTCAAGGAAATTGCAGTTCCATAGGTTGCACAGGGAATATCCTGACCAGGTACTCATCACCACAATTTTTCTAGACAAATCTAGTGAGTTCCAGATGATGTATCTAGTCTGAGACATTAGAATGTGCCAAGCATAAGGACATCCAAGGGATACATCTCTAGACTAATCAAACCCACTCTCTTCAAAGACCAAGGAACAACATTATATCAGATGGACAGGAAGGGAACTACCTACTGATTATCTGCATGGGTATATAGAGTATACACAGTATTCCTACAGATTATTTTTTTCCAAATTTTGAGAAAAAGTCTATAAAAGGTGGGAGGGCAGGTCCCATCATGTTATCTTACAAGAAGAAAAGTTTGAAACGTTTCCATAATTTTGTTTTCAGATTTATTTCAGATTCTATATAAAGTTTGACTTTTCAAACAAGATCCTCAAATCACTGTATAAGCCGAGGTAGAGGTAGATTATTTGAGGAAGGCAGGGCACTTGGATAGAAGGAGAGAAAGTCTTCCGAAAATCAACACATCTAATTTTTTTTTTTTTAATGAAAATGTATTTCAGAACACTTCTGATTTTGTAACCATTACATTCTTTTGTAGATCCATGATAAAAAAAAGTATGTGAAAGATATGGACAAGTGGCTGTTTGAAAGATCAAGTGTACAATCAACTCATCACTTAGGTACAGCAGCTGTCTGCACTACAGATGTCTTTGTAAAATCAAATTCATGATGCAGATCTGATGGGAATGCATTGAATGGCTCTTCCTACTGAATTATACATGGGACAATTTTTTTTTTATAATATCACAATTTAATTTCATGCAATTTACATATTCTGATTAATAGTGCTGTGCAAAGATATATTTAATATGCTCTGGCACTGCTGTATAAATAATGTCTTATATCAGTATTTTGTGCTGTTCTTAAAGATTAATTAATTTTATGGTTGTGTTCAGTTACACAGCTTTTTCTCTTATATGCCACAAAAATATATTCTAAAATGCCTCTCAATGTAATTTCTATCAGTTACACTATCTCTAATGATATCTTTTACAGGAAAACTTGTTGTTTTATTAGAAGAATATAGCTAAACAGAAAAAATGTTTTTTATTTAAAAAGTGTTTAGAATATACTAGAGCAGAACAAGTACAGAGCATGGTATTTGAAAAGGAGCTTCTATCATTTTATCTGCACTGATATATAACCCATCACTTACAAATTTCAGTTCAGATAATGCTACTAATTAGTTTTGGCTGATATTGGAGTATTTTGTATGCCCCATTTATAAAAGCTGTTTGCCCATCTGTTAATAGGTTGGAAGTGATTAAAGGACACTTATTTTGGCTGTTGCAAAGGCCAAATCATTTTAAAGCTGCAAATATGTGACAAAATCAGCTAAAGGTTTGCCAAGTTCAGGACCTGATTTTCTTAAAGCATTGTGGTGTCTGCTTCTTTTCCCTCCTGCCTAAAGTTTCTGTGAGTTTTCAGTATATAAAAGCAAAAATTCAACCTACTATGACAGGCCACACCTTTTATCTATTTGTTTAAACAGAGGTTTTAGTGAACTTTCAGTGTTTTTCAGATCTCTAGCTAAGTAGCATTTCTGCTGTTTGTCTATTGGCTTTGAAGCATTGCTTTCAAGAGCTTAACTAAAATGTGGCTTACAAGAGCACTCAGTATCACTATATTTTAATACCTGTGCCTTCTCTTCCTCTCTATCATTTCACCAGTGTGCATAAAAGAACAGGAAAATCAGAAATAAATCAATATGGGAAATATCAGAGGAAAAAGAAGACAAAAAAGAGGTTAAAGAATTTGGATGAAAAAGACAGTCATGGACAGTGAGCTGGGAATCAACAATAAATCAAAATCCTCAATATCGAGAGTTTATGTGGGACATTATTGGGGGATATTACAGACTTCAGTTTCATCTGGGGAAGAGTATTTCAGTCATAAGTTTAATGAAGATAAGAATTAGCCTTGTACAAAGAACTGTAATAACTCCTGTACACCATTTACACCCTATGTCCTACCTGAAGGTAAAGCTCACATTTAAATTATACTTTGTTTTTTACTACATATACATAACTTAATGCTTTACAGTATCAGGACAGAACCCAAGCTGATCTTTACTCCAGATGGAAAGTAGCAATGGAGTTTGAAAAGAGCATTCAAACAGATATTCTAACCCTGGTTTATCTGCAAACCCCTGAATATTTTTTTCTTGACTGGATTTGAACTGTAATACCAAAGGGAAAAGACCAATAACCAACCCTAGACTTATTAACTTCATCTGCAAATTCAATTTTATAAATGAGCAACATAAAGTGCTACCGACATACATTAAAGACATACCACCTGCTTTGAACTGCTTTAATGGAAAATCTGTCAAGCACTTTCTTTAATGATTATATGTCTTAAAAATTCAACAAATGAAAGGATTATCACTGAAATCATATTAATCTGCAAAGGATTAACAGCCTACTGTTGAAAGACTTCATGAACTGCAATAGGAGAGGATCTGAAATAAAAAATGCAAAGAGCTTTTCACATAAATAGTGCAGAAAGACTGTAGAGGCTGAAGCAGCAAGAGTGAAAATGGACTGAAATGAAGAATGGTGATGAGAATCAAACACATCAGCAATGAAAATAAAACAACATCATAGAAAACATGCTGTAACATCCTTACCACCTGTATACTCACTTTCTTTTTTAAATTTCTGTGGCCGGTTGCACTCTCCTTGTAATTTGTAATTTTAATTAGATTTAGGTAACGTTATTTGAAATGTCTCATTTAAAGAATGAAACAATTTTATTGAGCATTCTGAATTAATGAACACTGCGAATGAAGTCTAGACTTCCTATGGATACAGTCCTTTCAAGGGTTAGAAAGACCCCCCACAGGTTACAAAATGCTTTATCTTCAACAGTACACTGTTTAGCTTTCAGAATTCCAAGACACAAAAAGATTGTTTTATTTCTCTGTTATATCTTCCCTGCCTGTAGGACATTAATGAAATGGCCAGGCATTTCTTGTTATTTAATGGCCAACAGAGTTCATTTCATCAGACCTCATTCAGTAGTTATCCATATTCATGAAGACACTTAAGGATGTGTTTGATTTTAGCTTTAGTAGGATTTAAGGATATGTTAAAAGTTAGGCACATACTTAAAAAGCTATGCTGAATTTGGATGGAGGCAATCTCACGCTTACCTGAGCTAAAGTTAAAATTAAGCATATGCTTAAGTGTTTTGCTGAATACAGATGGAGTGCTGAACTGAAGCCCAGTGATTACTCATAAGTGTCAGTATGTTCTCAATCCAGAAATTATCACTTTACAAATAAAATCTGAAGATATGCATATACATAATCAATGTATGGCTGAGTAGAATTTTGATGACCAACTAATTACAATTCATGCAGACATAAATTAATAAGGTGATGAAACACTGCTTAAACTCAAAGATACATCCCAAATTATTCACTCAGGATGCACACAGAAGATAAAAAATGGGATAGTAAAACAAAATGGAGGCATAAAGACAAGTCATAAGGAAAGACATAGCAACAGCTTTTGCTTCCAGTTGAAGAGACCATTCTCAGCCCCAGTGGCCCCAGTTTAGTTGGTCTCAGGGCCTGATACTAAAATTTTCCTGATTTCCTAAAGCGACGCTGATGTTAATGGGAGGTTAAAATACACATTAAGCAAACAGATCTCCCTCATCACACAGAAGAAGCCAGAATCGCCTTTCTGAGATCTGGCAACTCAATGACATTGAGAATCTATGGATTCTACTTCAAAATAATGTAAATGTATGACTAAAAGCTATTTATGCTTTCTAATTTCTTTGTTAGTTTTCAATATTAATTTCTGAAAGAAAAATACTGAAAAATCATTTTGAAAATAATTACATCAGTTTCAACTGCACCTCACATTCCTCCTTTCTGACTTAGCACCTGATGGAGTGCTTTTCATTGGCTTGGAAATCTACTGTAATCTGGAAAGACAGAAGAAAGACCTACTGAGTTAAATACATAAAACCTAAGCTCATAACTGCCATATATTTCAATTCATATATACTTTTAAAATATTCCTAATTTACACAAGACTAAGACCTTTACTGAGGAAGACTAAAAAATTCAGAGAAATAAATCCAACCTAATCAGTAACTGCAAATGCTAGGGATGAACCTAGCAATATTTAAGGCTCGATATACAGGTTCAAAAAGGGAAAATATTGCTTTCCACTTTCCATCTCCTCAATGACTACTCACTGTCCTGCAACAAAATAATTCTAACAGTGTTTTCATTTAATGAATTACAAAAACACAGAACTCGCAAACATTTGCTATAATTTTATAGATTAGGGTGTTTGGCTTCTGCTATGATGTATTTTTGATCTACCTACCTCTTAAAAAGGATAAATCATCTGTAAAAAGAAAAAGACTGGGAGGAAAAAAAAAACAACCTAGAATATAGTTGAAGTGTGTCCTTGGCATTTTAGTTTCTGTGTTCCTGAAATACAGTGATAAACAAAGCACATTTAAGAATGGATATCTGATATCACATCAAAGTACCACTGATCCCAATCTGCTCTTCCTAACAATGGACAGCAAAGAAGTATGGGCAGCCATAAGAAACATGGCACTTTCAAGGGTGATTTGTCTCCCTTATACATTTCAGATTATCAGCAGTTTAGTGACTGAGCTATAGGCAACATCCACACCCTTATTTTTGATAGCCACTGAACAACCAATAAGAGACCAAATTGCCTAACCTCTTTCAGATTCCTTTTCTATTTCCTTTCCTTTGCAACACCTGTGGCTGCCAGATCCACAACTCAATTATGCATTAAGTTAAAAAGATCTTTCTACTTCTGCTCTAAATTTGCTACCTGATGATTTCAACAGAGCCTTCCAGTTCTTGAGCAGAAAAACAATATATATTACTCCTTCTTAGCCTTTCCCCTCCTTTCAAGATTTTGTTCCTGATTAATTACCTCTGTTGCCTAGATTCCACAATACTGAATCAATGGATGGCAAAATGGTATATGATATCCATTATAATTAAATGTTTTCCCACCTGATGATTCCCAGATTATTTAGTCTGGTTTATGACAGAAACTATCCCAACACTTCTGGCAATCCTATACACTACCTTCTGGATTTCTTTTCTTTTCAAGACACTATGACTGTCACATGGTATTAAGACATGGGTGTACTTTGAGTGTAGTAAGGACTCTATCCTAATCAAGAGACAGCTACTTTGATATTCTTAGTAAATTCCAATTAGGTTATCAGCACTACAGCTGGTCTCAGGAGTCTCCCTATCAGTTAAGGACCTGACATATTCAATTGCCTGAAGGAAAGACTGCCTGCCTGACAGGTGATTTGCTCCTATCCATTTCATGAAAAAGTGAGTCCTAATGGTTGCTTGCTTCCACATATTTTTTGATACCTCATGCTTCAAATCCTGCTCCCTAATCTCATTTATTCAAATCAGAGTTTCAGATTCAGCTGTACTCTCTCCTTGCCTCTTATCTACCACATTAGACCCGACTAAGTCCTCTGTGGACTTCCAGATACTTAGCCCAGTTCCCATGCACAGATTCTTCTTGTGACCTGATGCACTTGGCTTCTGTCACTAACTTCTGACTGCAGCCTCTCCTCACACTGCTACCTGCCTCCAGGTACACACACAGTGATGTTTTCTGTTCAGCCCTAAGTTCTTTTCATTTCCATACCCAGCCTCTTACTGTGTTCTCTACTCCTTTTAGCAATTTCATACAAATGAACACAATGATTCCAAGTTCCTGCCTGTGTGAAAATGCCAAATTCAGAGCTCATTGTATGTGTGTAGGGTGATTCTCTCCATCAAACATTTTCTAATGTTAGACTAATGTAGGCAATGCATTAAGTACAACGTAACCACTCTTTCAAGCATTCTATTTAGCAAGTTTACTCACTAAGCCTGAATTCTAGATGCTGATTATCATTTTTTAATCAAAGAATAACTTTTTTAAAGGCTGCAAGTCAGTGCCCTGACTTGTATTGCAGATTTCCAGCAGTGAGGTGTGAGTTACTCAACTGTTAAAAAAACTCATTCTTCTACAAAGCTGAAAATGCAATTCATGCAATTGCTATTGCAAATAGAAGACCTGGCTCTCCACAATCTTGTATATTTCAGGATCATCAACCACAAGTGCAATTAACTGTTATCTGGTGGGAGAGCTAAAATGTATGCAGATGCTCAGGATTAGTCCTATTTAGTATCCCTCGCTTTATAGGTGTATAGTTCTTCGGTCATTTATTTAATAAGTGCTGTGTCACCACTGCGTAGTCTTGTCTGGGTTTGGTTGGCTTTTATACTACAGCTATGCTTTGGTCTTTGCTTCTGGTTGTAATCTAGGGATTTGGGTCCTGAAATTGCTCCTCCCAGAAACAGAGTGGTTAAAGCCTGTAATTTTATCGGCCCCATACATTCTATTTGGAAACCCTGTTAGCCACGTAAGGTACATGCTGAAAGGCAATGTACATTTTAGTTCATGTGCTCTAAAGCCAAGACACTGCCTAATAAAGTCACCAACTATAATTTGATATGAAGATGAAATTAGGCTTCTTGAGCAACTGAGATGTGCCTACTTATTTTAATGCAGTCTGGATGTTAACAACAGCTATCTGAGAAAAACAAAACAAAACAAAACAAAAAACAAACGAGAAAAAAGTGGACATAAAGGTGCAGTAGGCATACAATCTGCATAAAGCTTTAAGAGACCCTCTCCAAAAATTATTTTCTGGGCAAGATCCAACAGTAAGGGACTTTTGCACAGCTCTGAGTTTAAATGTATGAATTCAGGGCAAGGTAGACACATGAATTAACTTAGAGAGTTATTCAGTATCTTGGTAATTCACATGAAATTTCCCAGTTGCTACAAAGATATTGTTGAGGCACTCATAGATCCTTCAGCTGTGCATATCAGTGATTCTCACTATGAGCTGAGAATAGAAACTAAAATCCTACTCTGCGAGTGATCAGCATTTGCCATGACCAGATCCCAGAATATCTTTGATATTCTTCAAAAACGTACAAGTATTGTTCATTTCAAAAATGAACATTTTGAGAAGATAAACCTTTGATCAGGGTATTGCCACCCATAAGACTTCATAATAATGGCCAGCCTTCGCGAGCGAAGATCCGGGGAAGGTCTTTCCACCTTCCAGCCTGCGCATTGGATTTTTTAGGTGAGACACAGTGTGCGCGGAACTGAGCCCACCCTTTAATCCTAAGGTTCATCTGCCGGGGCCAAGCGAGCTTGGACGGTGGCAGCGAGGTCCTTAGGACGTAGGTGGGTTGCCTTTAAGGGCTAACGAGCCCCACCTGCCCGGGAGTGGCCCTGACCGGGAATCGAACCCGGGTCTCCGCGGTGATAGCGCGGCGCCTTTACCACTAGACCACCAGGGGCTCCAAATATAAGACTTCATACAGCTTAGTAAAGCTATTTTTCACCATACTTTCTTAAGCATTAAGTATACTTTCTTAAGTAATTGTACCTTACTTTCTTAAACTAAGTTGACCACGTAGCTTGAAGTATGTTCCCTTTTAAAAATGAGGAAAATCATACCATCAACCTCTGAAAAGTGGGACTTGAGAAATACACGCAAAGGTTCTTTACAGATTGCACTCACCAGGCTATTTGATACTCTGCTGTAACAAAGGAGTCAAATGGCTTTATCTTCTCAGAATCTTCCATATAAAACAGTGCAGTGAAGCATGTGTTTAATTTGGAATGAGCTGTTCCTGCTTCACACTATGATAAGCCACCTGCCAATTGAGTTCAGTCTCCTGCCTCCTGCTTGCAAAAGGAATTTAATTGGCTGTTGCAGCAATCTGTACTCTGATGAGGTTGTTGAGAGATGGAGAAAAAAAAAAGCAACAAACCCATCTAGCTGAAGACCTGATACATATATTTCTCCCACAATCCTCTATTTTTGCTGGTCCATCACCATCCAGTGTGTAGTTACCCTTCGAACAGCCATTCCTACCTCTAGATTTCCAGTTTTTACCTAGGGCCATCCAAAAGTTCACTATGCTTTTCCTTTGCTTCCCAAACTATCTTTCAAGTCTCCAGTATGTGATCCAATAGGTTGGATATGCTTTCATGTGAGGCTACCTCCCCTCCATGAATTCAGAGCTTAATTCTGCCTGAGACAAGGGTGGCCCACAATAAAGACCTTGCTTCCACTTCACAAGCCACCTGTTATCTTCTTCACCAACCTGCCAACTCCTCTACTGTTTCCCAGTCCTGCTGCTCGCCAGCCCACTGCGCCATCTGCACAGCAGGAATTCAGAGATAAACTTACAAAGTGTTAGAAGTCTCAGCTTTGTCTCAGAGCCGGTGCTGCTTTGTGAGCAGAATAATTATTCTGGAGTAAAAGTAACTTTCATTTAAGAATAATGTCTGCGTGGAAATCTACTCCAGAATCAGGGGTAGCAAAGTAATTTATTCCATTCCACCTCTGTTAGTCTGCTTCCTCTTTCGTACAGGGCCCAAGATCTATTTGTGACTACCTTAAATTTTCTTACTAAGACAGGATATTAACGGATATAATAATTACATTAATGTACTGAAAGAATGGAAAATTACTCAAAATATAATTTAAAAATTTCCAACCATTTCAGAAAGTGATATTTAAAACATTTCTGAAATTGGAAAGAAACTGAAATACAGGAATCTGATTACTCAAAAAACTATTACAACTTCTGTCCCAAAGATTATTAAAAACAAAACAAACAAGCAAAAAACCAAACCAAACCAAAAAAATTACATACCACACACCACTGCAGCCCAGAAATTGGACTGGGTGTCATATGAAAGACTGGAAGAGATGACTAGTTTGCAACCACAGATAAAAATTCCAATCATCTATTACAGTTACTGGTACCAGGCCACAGAAACTCAAGACCTTAGTATTGGTCCCCGTGTCCCATAATGCAGGAGACTGCTTGAATACATGAAGTATAGAAAAATTACTATCTCAAATAATTCACAATTGCAGTAAAGATCAAGAGACCACAGAGAAACACAGACAGATAAAATAATACATGGAAACAATGAAGTGAATTCAACTGACATTACATGAAGTTGTCACAGTACATCAGAAGCTTGATGTTGTTACTTTAGAGCAGACAGTGAAGTAAATGTTAATCTTCAGAATGAGCATGAAGTGCATTAAAGAGGTCGTTTTGGACCATCTACAGAGTTTTTCCCAAGCCTACAAGGTAGCATAGAAAAAAAACACCTGCAATTGCATGCTGGAACACTGAAACAGGCATCATTCATCAATGGGAAGAATAGAAGCTGATCAGTCCATTGTGAATCAGAGATGATAGAGTGGAAAAGATGTTTCATATTTTGTTCAATTCAGATTATTATGGTATTCTGTCTAAACTGGTGAATTTGAACCGTGGAACCACTTTGCATGATAAACAGTAGAACTCTTATCAGCCTTGAATCACGGTGCAGAAATGGGTAATTCACAGCTAGCTTTGAAAGAGCTTTCAATTTAAATAATGATCTCCTGTTTTAGGTCAAGTGCAAAACCCTACTAAAGTGCAAATCACAAGCAAACAAAGCTATCTCAGTTCTTAAAACACCACAGCTACATTCAATCTCACCCCAAAGAAAATAAATAATTCAAAATAATGGCATTCTGGCAATATAACACCTTGTGTATAACCTATTCTTTCTCATGTGTCTTTTGGGGAAAGATTTTATTAAGCATATTTTAAACTTTAATGAACCATTATCACTTTTTTGTTTCTGTTAATTTTACAGACAATACATGAAAGTCAATCTGAAACAACAATACCCCTTCTGTGCAGATGTAAGCAAACCTACAGGCACTTACTGAGCAGACTCACTGTTTTATCCAGGTTCACAAGAATACAATGATCTCTGTTGCCTTTTCTCATTAAAGAAAATTCAATCAGACATGGAAATACTCTGCAAAGTGATTTTCTTTCACATAAAACATTCAGTAACAAAGATGTCTTTGTGCATGACATGCTTTCTGCTTCTTCACCACTTCATGTCTGCATTTTAATCCAGGTTAGCTTTTCTTCTTGGTAGCTTAGACATTGTAGCTGGCTTTAACGAAATAAAATGCCATGCAGCAAGCTCATAAGTTTACACAGTTACTTACCTATCAGGAACATGGATTTTGTAAATAGCTGAACTGATGTTGAAAATAATTATAAGAATATGCACTGGATTCAGTCGTGAAAACACTGGTAGTGCATTGGCAATACAAGCCTGTCATCAAATCTTCTTTCAAGCAGGTATTTAACTACACAAAGAAAAAGCACTGTCGTGTTTTTGGATAATGTGTCCATTACAGGCTCATTCATTACTTCACATGGAATTTCAAGATTCTGAAGTTCAGTTTTGCTTTGCTGCAGAACAAAATCAAGAGATTCTACACTGTGGCTAAGGCCACCACTTGTGATGCCAGAAACTCCTATTGAATAAAATGCCTTGAACGGATAAGCACAGTGATTTCAATCTCATTTTTGCAACAGCCTGTGCAACAACCCCTCTGCATGCTTGGCTTCATGAGAGGGTTAGAACTTCTGTTTTCCTCCTTTCATCAGCAGATACTACTCTAGGCCTGAGAAACTCTTCTCGATGAAAATGTCATAGAAACTCATTTCTGGGGGGAAAACATTTCAGCTGTAGAGCTTCAGGATTTGCCCAAAGTCAGTGTATATTTCACAGTCATTTGCTCCCTGTAGAGGAAGTGCTGGCAAGTATAAACTTGCTAAAAACACTTTTCAATGAGCAGTACACAGTAACGTCAGTCCCTAATGTCCTAATGCAAGTGTTTGCAGTGCAGCAGGAGTTACTTTGACACCCTAAATTCCATAAAATCACCCTGGGATGTAGTTTCTCAGCAATGTCTGCTGACGACACTTAGTCCTTCCTTTTGCTCCTTCCACGGAAGTAGCATTCCATGCTTATCTCATCCTTAGCACCACGAAAACTTAATAATCAAGAAACTCTTTACTTAATGAAAGATAAGGTCAGGAATTTTGATGCCAGATGAGAAATGGCACACTTCAAAGAAACAAAAAATAGAGTTTTAGTTTAGAGTTAATGATCAAGTGCTTTCCTAGGTAAGAGGTAACCTGTTTTGTCTAGACTCCCCAAGACTCTTCCACTCTGTCAAAACTGAAAATTTGCTGCATCTAGCATTCCTTCTTCTTGTGAACATTATTCTTGATGTAAAGCTAGACAAGATCATTAAGTCCATCCCATCCCATCTGATTTCAATTTTTTTTTACATAATATTTTTTAAATGTGAGTGTAGTCCGTGGACTTTTCACTCTTCCTCAGGAAGGTTTCCTTGGAATGGTTTGCATATCATCAGCTAGCAGGATTTACTTTATCTGTCATTTTATACATCTACAGGATTCTTCAGTTAACATCTTAATTGCAGCTTAAATTACCTTGAAATAAATTCCTAAGACATTCCAAATGTTAGAATACTCTTAAGGCTGAATGACTAAGAACTTTGCTCTTAGTCACCATCAGTCTAAGCTTGTAACAGAAACTAAATATGGCAACTTCAGGCATGTCATTAATATTGATAATGGACTTAGGAATACAACAGTACATTGAATTATCTCTAGATAATATTTCCCAAAGACTACAGAGAAGGATTATCTGACTGGGTCTATCTGAGGGTGACACATTTGAAAATAATTATCATTATAAGATGTTTTTCAGGGATAACATCACCCATTGAAGAGGTGTTAGAATTTCAATTGCCACTATCCAGACTCCTGTGCAACTCCATATAAGTTATCAAACATTCTCTCTTCTTTTATGTTCTGCTTTATTTACAGGTAGATGTTTCTTTTTAAGAAAAAAAATATTTGTAAAGAAAAACTAAGAATTTTTTTCTTGCAAGCTTTTCAGTCTTCACAAGCGTTTTTGAATAGTCTATAATATGTCCACAACTATTTTATTAGATAGTAGGATTTATGCAATTCTAAGATCAAACAAAAACCTTTTATTAGGTAAGTTACCTCCATCAGCAGCTTGTTACTTTAAATTACTTTTAACATTTAATCTTTTTTACCTCAAAATTCATAATCTTGTGTATAGAATACGTAAAGTTTTTAAATGTCTCTATTGTTTTCTGAGCTTTACCTAATTTTAACTGTATGAAGTTGAGAATTTGTAATCTCTGCAATGTTTGGTATTTTTCATAAAATATTCGTTAAAATTGTTATAAAGGTAAATGTAAATTATCCAGTTTATGCCTTAGTCTAGGTAAATAATATCAGCTTTATTAGACCACAGGGGGAAGAGGCTTGCATTTCTGGATAGCATGTTGATGAAAAATCAAGTTGGTGACACAATGCATGGTGAATGCATTGGTGAAAGCCATGGCAAGACTCAAACACTAGATATCAAATATCAGTCTACCTGTCTCTCTTTGACAGTTGGACTAGATGATCTTGAAGGTCTCTTCCAACCTTGACGATTCCGTGATTCTTCTTAAAGAAAGTGTTGTATATCTAGATAAAATTATCTCAATTCTGACACGAGCCTGTGTTATCTAACACATGGTGACTATCAGCTTTTAAAAGCCTGCGTACTCCAGATATCAGCTGCACCTGTAACTGTTTAGTTTAAAACAGGGATCTGTTTTTTGCACTATGTTCTATATGTAATATGTTACGTATATGTACATAATGCAATAGGCTTCCCTTACATTCGTGGAAGTTCTCATCATGGTAGTACACCAAGACTAAAGCACTGCTTTATCCATAGTAATGGACTCACAGTACTCATAACAGTGTAAATATATCTGGTAAGCTGGAAATTTTCTGCATCCAAAATCTTGGCTACTGCTTTGTCTATAAAATTTGTTCCCCTGTTTTGATAACAACATGGTTTATTTTATAAATCACTGATGTAGAAAGCAATGTCCATTACTAAAATACAAGAATTCATAACATACACAGAGCCGATTCTTACTGCCCAATATTTGGTCATGTTACATCCCTCTTTGTCCTCCATGGTTTTTTGCCTCACTTGGTTGTAGGCACTCCCAAGATTTGGTGAAAACACACCTCTCCAGCCGTGCTATCCTTTCCCTATTGGGAAGATCAGTGTGCATTTGAGAAATACATCATTCATCCAAATTATTTCACATTATTTATTTGAATTTGAGCTATTGTATTAGCAGTTTCGGTTCCCAGAAGTGGAGTTGTCATCTGCTTCCTACTTGGTCAATCCAAAGTTTCCATAAGTCACTTCAA